TGCGGAGCACAGGCTCCGGACGCGCAGGCTCAGCGGCCATGGCTCACGGGCCTAGCCACTCCGCGGCATGTGGAATCCTCCCAGACCGGGGCACGAACCCGTGTCCCCTGCATCGGCAGGCGGACTCAACCACTGCGCCACCAGGGAAGCCCTTAGCTCCGTTTTTCAATTCTGGTTTAGATGCTAAAAGCCCTAAATGAATTTTTATTTTAATACTCGAGCCCAGTTTTAGAGTGAATATAATCTAGTTATAATTAGTTATAATTTAGTTAAGCCAATTTTATAATTATCAGAAAGGATGTAGTTAATAGACTTAAACAGTAAATCCCCATTATAAAAACATGCTCTTTGGGACTTCCCAGTGGTTAAGAATCCACCTTCCAATGTGGGGGACACAGGTTCAGTCCCTGGTCGCGGAACTAAGTAAGATCCCACATACTGCGGGGCAACTAAGCCCATGCGCTCTAGAGCCCACTCACCGCAACTAGAGAGCCTGTGTGCCATAACTAAGACCCGACAGAGCCAAATAAATAAATAAATAAATATTTTTTAAAAAAAGAAAACATGATGTTATATCAGAGATTTGTCTATGCCACAGATAAAATTGTATTTCTCGTTCTTAACACATTTCTCTGTACCTCAGCAAGTGTGAGTGAGGCTTATCCTAGTTCCTCAGACCAGTATTGTGATGAGGGGCCCACTGTAGTTACTGTTTATCTTTCCCAGCTCAGGTGGCCATCAGCACACACAGCCAGAGCAGTTGGTAGACAGCCAGTCCCCAGAAAGGAGAGGTGGTGAGGGACATGGGGGGAGCCCCGAACTAGGGTGAGAATCTTATCATTTAGCCCTGACGGTCTCCCACTTTGATCTTATGGAATCTTTGTGCCATACCCCTTTCTTTTTCAAGCTTGCATCTAAACTCACTGCTCTTTTTTTTTTTTTTTTTGAGGGGCAGATATATTGAATAGTGGTTTCTGGATAAAGAAGACTGAGATACTATTTGTTTAAATCTATTTTATTTTAAATCCAGCAACTTACAGCTGTAGTCTTATAGCCAAATTAGTATGGACCTCCTTCCACTTGATTTCCTAAATTGTATTATAAATTTAACATTTCCCAAATTCCTTTTCCTTGGCAATTTTTGTTCAGTTTCACAATTTTACAGACATACAGACAATCAGGTGATTACTTACCTCATAGCAAGCAAGTTGAACCCAGATAACCAAAATAATAGATAATTCTAAAAATAAAATAAATTCTAAAAATAATTAATTCTAAAAATAAAATTGATCTAAATTGGCAATCAAAGTAGAGTTCCCTAAAGATATTAAAGGTTCTTTCACTTAGAGGATCTTAGGAGAAGGCATCAACACGACAGTGAAATCATTCCTGGACCCACCGAAGTCCCAGGCCAAGAGTTTGCAGGGTGACGTCTCACTAACTGCGTGGAGAGCCATTCAGTGGTCCCCGGGCACAGCCAATTAATTGGAACTCTCTGGTTATTGTGATGTACGTGGCAGATTCTGGTCTCACAGTTAAAGGAGACATGTAGAGGGAGATGAGTTTCTATGGGAAAATATCTAGTAATATGGTGAAGTAGCAGCGAAGAAGAAAGAGGTATTGTGGAGAGTCAGGATTGGTAAAGAAATGAGAGG